TGCTAAATGAACAAAGTATTTTTGTTGGTCAAAAATATGTACCTTTTGCTGGGTCTAAAGTGATTATTTGAGGATTTACGATTGAAAGTAAGCTTAAAATAAGCTCCACAGTATGGCGGAGGGTACAAAAATCGGCAAATTTAAATAATAAAATGATGGGCTCATGTGTTAAGAATGTTGAAAGTTCTTATGACTTCCTTTTAGAGACGGACTTTCCATCATTCGAAATTGAAGAAAATTTGACTAAGCTGCCAAAAATTGGATTCATAACCTCCTCGCAACACATTTTTAAATTGAAAACAATATCAACATGGTCTGGCCAGCCTCGGGTGGCCGACGAAGGATTAAACTGAAAAGTGTCAAGAGACATAATAAGTACTCTCAGCTAAGGAAAATGTTTGGACATTCTCACCTCACCCTTAAAGGAGACAATAGAAAGCTGTGAGGAAGTGACGTCTTTGTACAAATAACATCTATGTTTGTGTGTGTGTGTGTGTGTGTACTAACACATTCTATCTCACAACAGTTTCTACTTCTTCCCTGCTGTCAAAAAATAACCGTTTCCTTGTTCCTTGAATGTGCCTGAGTTCACTGGGGCATGGTATTGTTAACTTCTTCTGATGTGTGGATTCTTATGCAAACATTTTTGAAGGGTGGTACGTCTTATTTGGACGTTCATGAAATGGTGAGTGGTTGCTTTCCTTTGTTATCCTTTTCGACTTGACACACTAATCCTTTTCTTGGTTTGTTTGTGTCAGTTGTACCGAAGGGTTTATTATTTGTAACGAAACGTTTCACAAAACAATGGAATTGAATATCATCATATACGATTTCAATATCAATGACCATGGAACAATTGTAAAATATGTGGAACGTATTGCAGATGTGGTTAAAGACATATATTTCTTTTCTTTATAAAATGAAAAACAAAACTTCAGAGATAACAAAAATATGTATATTTAGTGTTGATGAGAGCTCGACAAGGATGTGACGTTAAAGTCTTCGAACAACATGACATGTACGAGAAAAACAAACTTATTCCGACGGTTTAAATATCCAACTGTGATATTTTTATGAAGCTATGCTACTATGCTGGTCTTATACTTATTAAATATAACAACTGTTTTGTTTCCACTGTTAGATTTTGATTTGCTAAAATCTAAGAAAATGAACTAATATTTCTATAAGCTTTCTGAAAAACCTGCCCAGCAAGTTCGTTAAATTTAAAAATATTAACTAAATTAATTTCCAAATATTTAATTGAGTCTCTTATAGGTTTATTAGGATTAAAAAGAGGCAATATCGGGTTTGGCCTCTGTTAAGGCAACTGGAATGTAATCTGTTCGAAACACCTCGATTTAACGATGTCTGTCCGTCTGTCTCTCTGTGGAAATCACTCTAGCTTCCGAACGAAAGGAAGTAGGTTGATACAATTTTATTCAGATGTGTAGGACTTTGGTATTGCTACAAAATTGGCAATATTCGTTTCCATAATATAAGAAACATCCTTGCATAGAACTGTCAATGCAAGTCTAAATTTTTGGGCTGATAAACTTACTGGGCGGAGAACTAATAGAAAAATAACACTGTGCGACAAAATTCATTTTCTTCAACAATTATGGGCAGATTAAGAAAGTAGAGTGTCGGCATTTTGAAAGTTTAAAGCAACCTGAAAAGAGGGGGACGTTCACAAACTGTCAACAATTTCGGATTCTGCCAAAAAAAATTTTTTTTGATAAATTTCTTTTTGAGTTGACAGTAACTTGAAATTTTACTTTTAGGCGGAAGTAGTCAACAGAAGAAATACTTTACACAAAACTACAATAGTTTTTATGACAATTACATTCAAAATTTATGAGTTATATGTGATAGCTGTGTTGGTAATGGTATTATATCTTTGTGCATTTGTTTGTAACATGGAGAAAGAAGCGAGATACACCCATAGTTACTTTTGAGAATATTCATCGACTTTCTGAGTCGATTTATGCATGGGTGTATGTCCATGCATTCTGGTGAATAAAATGCAGGTCGCATTTATACTCCGATTGAGATAAAATGTTCTAAACAATAGTCAGCCTAAGGACGAACACTATTGAAATTAGTGATTATCGGATCAGATTTAGATATAGCTCCCATATATCTTCAAACTATTTCAGGTTAATTGTGAACCAATTGGGCAATATCAGTACAAAAGTTGTACATCTAACCGATTACAGTCTAGAAGCAAGTACATCGAATTCGTAGAAAATCAGTTCAGATATAGCTATAGCTCCCATATATGTGTTTCATCCGATTTGGTGTTTAAGTCCCTCACATGCGTTATATGCATTCGTCAACAATGATGTTTAGTAGCCCAGAAATACTTCTGCTAAATTTTATAAATATCGGTTCAGACTTGGATATATATATATCTTCAACCGATATATATCTTCAACCGATTTCGGGTTAATTGTGCACCAAATGACCAATATATGTCCAATAGTCCTGAATGAACATCCGATCGAATTCAGTCTAGAAGCAAATACATCGAATTCGGAGATAATCGCTTCAGATATACTTATAGCTTCCGCATATATGCTCGGAAATACATTTGCCAAATTTCATCAAGATCTTCTTAGAGTTGGATATAGCTTCCATATATACCCTTAATCCAATTTCAGGTTTACTGTGCCATTATTTAGCTAATATCAGTCCAAATGGAGTGAATTTCGGGATGTAAGCTTTCATTTTGTGGAACTTGGCTCCGATACATGGTTTTTTAATATAATCATTCTCGAAGTGATTTAATACACTCTATACATTTGGTATAAAAGATTAATATGTCTCCATCCAATTTAGTGACAATCGATTCAGAATTGGATACGCCTCCCATATATTCGTTGCCTCTGGAACCAAATTGTAACTGCTCTAAAGCTAAAGGTTGATAGGAGGTATGACATATTTCAAATAAATTCGTTTGTTATGGGAGCTCTACTAAATATGCATTGTGGTATAGGGTATCACATATTCGTCTTTGCCCGACTTTCGACTTTTCCTTACTGGTTTACTGTTAATTTAACACGTATCCAATCCGACTCAAAATTTTCCTTTATACTTCATTTTTTAGGAAGGTGTCACAGAAAGAATTATTTGAGATCAAATTTCATTATGAGTCTTTGAAAAAAAGAAATGTGTATATTCAATGTGTGCATTATAATACCAAGTGGACGAGTACTAGTTTTTTCGATCATATCCCAAAAGGAGGATAGCATATTTAGGATAGAGCTTTGAAATTTAATAGAGATATTTGGATTACATTCAGTATCATTAGTACATAAAATGGGTCATGTCAGTCCACTTTTTTGAAAAGTCCCCTTGGAATGATTTCAAGCATATTATTTACGTTTTGGGCATCTTTGCTTCATTTTGATTTGTTATTATGTAAAAACGCTTTTTACAAAAAACAAAAAAAAAAACGATATGGGCCTACTTTTTGGTACAGCAGTTATGTAATGATACCCGCCGAATTTAGGTATTGCAAAAGTCTTGGTAATTTTTTCCAATATATATTTATTCTTATGATACCATCCGCCTAAAACGAAATTTTATGTTAAAAAGCAAAAAGAAAAAATTGATAAAAAATTAAGTTCGGGTTTTCTTTTCAAAATTGATGCAAATGGATGTAGAGATATTTGGTGAAGAATATTATTGCCTTTGACAATTATGCTTTGTGGAAGATTTTTAAACAAATTAAGAAAGAGTACGACATGAAGCCCTGGCATTTAAATAAGATTTAGACTTTTGATGCCTTCAGTACCTATAGTAAAATTTTATGGCAAATAGTTTTGTTGAATATTTAGACTTGCTACACTACCCTTCAAAGTGAGTTTTTAACCATATTTTAAAAAAGACTAAAAAGACCGCTTTTGACTCGCTTGAGGGTTAAAATTATCGACCAAAGTAATCCTCGTATTTTTGTCTTCAATATTGACGAAGGCACCACACACCTAAAATGCACGGATTTCGGGGAATATCCGAAAAAGTTCAAAAGTGTGAAATAGGGTAGAACTTGCCCCTTTAGACTACTTTGCGATATAAACCTTCAAGACGCCGATACATATGTCTTCTTTTTATACCCTCCACCATAGTATGGAGGGTAAATTAAGTTTGTCATTCCGTTTGTAACACCTCAGAATATACAATTTAGACCCCACGAATATATTATATTATATTCTTGATCAACATAAAATTCTATGTCGATTTATCAATGTCCGTCCGTCTGTGCGTCTGTGGAAATTACTCTAGCTTCTGCAGGACTTTTGGTATTGAAAATGGGCTATGTAGGTTCACCTTTTGGCATAGGCTCCATATAACGGTACCTCCTGATATTCGGTATTTTGATGTTTTTTGCGATAATGTTCATCGAAATTGTTTCAAATTTTGTTTTTGAAGTTCGTAATGGATACTACAGCATATGGCAGGAGATTGTCTATGCAGGTTCACGTCTTCGTATAGCCCCCATATAATGGTACCCCTGATATTCGGAATTTTGACGATTTTAGCGAAATCATTTACCGGAATTGTTTCAAATTTGGTATTTGAAGTTGGCAATGGATAACACAGCCTAAGACATAAAATGAGCCATATGGGTCCACGTCTTCGTATAGCCCCCATATAACGATACCCCCGATATTTGGAATTTGCATGATTTTAGCGACATTATTTACCTGACTTATTTCAATTTTGTATTTGAAGTTCGTAATGGATACTGCAGTCTATGCCAGAAAATTGTCTGTGCAAGTCCACGTATTGTACCTCCCTATATTCGGTAGTAGCTACATTATAAACAGATTTTTTCAAGTTTCGCAATTTGAATATTATAATGGCTTATGACAAAAGTTGCCTATGCAGGTCCACTTCGTCGCATAGACCCTAATATACGGCTACATTCGGCATTTTTAAGATTTTAACAGAATTTTTAATGGATTTTATTTTATTTTTTTTTTGAAAATTGCCAACATTTCTACCAAATGGTGGAGGATAATCAAAGTTCGGCCCGGCCGAAATTTATTTTAATCGAAATTAATTCGAAATTATATGCAACAGTTAGACCCCAGTGCTTGTTGTCCTCTTGTTCCATATTTTTTTTGTGTTGCACAGTGTAATAATAAAATATGTTATTATTTTTTTTTCTTTTACGTATCTCATATAATTTATTAAGCTAAAGGGATAAAAATACTGCATTTAAATACACAACAAATCTATTTATGAGTATAAACTTTTATTTTAACAATTTCGAATGCTCTATAATGGATATTTGATGCAAACTATTTACAAAAGGACATCGGAGCATTTGAATATGTTTCGTAGATTATAAGGGTTTATAGCTTTAGTAAAACCTAGCCTAATGATGATAAGGCAAACAAATAACAAACTTACATCCTGCAAAGCACACATACCGACGTATGTGTATGTATGTGTTGTCTTGTTTTAATATTTACATGGATCGATGGCATTGGTAATGGAGAGTAAAAAACGAAATTTCCAAGTACTTAATATCCCAAAAGTTTTGGTTGCAGAATGATTAATATTTATACGTATATTATTGTAAATGTTTTACTACTTAAAACTAAATAGGATTAATATCGATATTTAATTGTGTATAAAACTACAGATACTTCTTCTTTTTTTGCGGTTTTCTTAGAGAGATTTCAGACTAAATGTGGCGAATTTCCGGAAATTTTGCCGACCGACCGCATTCAACTAAATGTGTCATGTGGCACGGTGATGGACCCAAGGACTAGCAAGAACACAAGGTATTTTACAAAACGATTCGTTGTAAGCGATATCAGTACAAGCGTGCACATGCTCAGGGCCATTGAAGAGGCCGACGATCCCAGATTGCCCTTTGTCAACTGGTCCTGGCAACGGCCAATGGAGTCTATGTCGAGTTCGATCATGGCCCGACCGTTCACATCCAGCGGTGAAATGCAATAGTTTTTCTGCAGAAATTCTGTGAGATTGTGGGCACCCTCCACCAGTGGCCCATCGAGCAGGGTGTGTATGTGACAGCCACAGGGAAAGTGATTGTTAATCAGCTGTAGGTGTTCCACGCCATCGACAATTATAGCATTGGGATCAGGTGTTTCCAGTATGTGGTTGCCGTGCATTTTGAGATGTTTGATGTTGGCAGTGTAGGTGAAGTTCAACTCCTCAATGGCATCGATCTTGTTGTTGAGTATTTGCAGGGTCTCGACCTGTGACAGCCCCGTAAAGGCATCGGTGCAAATGACACCCAGGTCCGATTCCTGCAGGGTCAATAGCAGAATATTTGTGAGGCCACGAAATGTGAACGGCTGAACCTCCTTCAAGTCCATATAAGCAAGTTTCAGCAAACCGACTGTGTCCATGCCATTAAATGCGTCTGGTTCTATGGTTCGTATGCCCGAAGGGAATATCACATGGCCAACATTCGTAAGACTTGAGAAGGCCGACGTATCAATCTTGATGAGCGGATTGTTGCTCAACAGTATCAACTTAACATTGGATGTGCCGGCAAAGGCATGTGTTTCGATGCGTGAAATTTGATTATGACTCAGAAGTATGGTCGAGAGATTCTGGAGACCAGCAAATGCAAACGATGTTACCGACTGTAGGGGTGTGTATTGAATTGACAACTCCTTGAGACGGGGCAGTCCGCGGAAAGCAAACTGTTTCACCTTGGTTATGTTATTGCCGTCCAGTGAAAGTTTCTTGAGCGCTCGTAAACCTGCAAACGAATCGGGCTTTATGACCGGAAAATTGTTTTTGGTTAATGCAAGATTTTCAACGGTGGGGGGTAATTGTCGCAATGGAATCTTCTCAAGTCCACCAGTATTGCAAAGTACCTACAGTCGATGAAAAAAAAAACGAAGAAAGAGCAAAAGAACAAAAAAATGAATTTCATTCGAAATGTTCAAAACAAAATAGCAGTTACAAGAACACAGCAACAACAATAGCAACTACAACAACAATAGCGATGCTTGCAGCGACCTAAGTTACAACAAAGATGAAGATTTCTGTAAATTTATTCTAATGATTTCACCATACAATGAAGGTCATTCCGTTACGGTACCGTGTACTTTGACCATGTTGTTCTTCACGGTTTCTGGGTGCGCGTGTGTGTGTGTGTGTGGGGGGTTTTCTGAAGGTTTTTATAACCGCCGGTAAATTGAATCTACGTGGTTATTACTGAAAATTAAATTAAATCGAGAATTTTTCTGTTTTGTTTTTATTTTCCAGTCGTTGTTGGCAATGCTACTGCCCCTGTTGCCTTTGCCAGGGCAATGTCCGTCATACCCTCCACCAGTATCTTTTCTTAAAGCCGTCGCCACGAACAAAGTTTCTACCTTTGAACGGCACATCTGAATGTGGCATTACCATGTCCCCTTTGAGTTCATTTCTAGCCGGAGGGCTTTCGTTAATTCTTTTATGCCCCACACCCAACCGTTAGGGGCTTTGTAGATGGAAATGTGGACAAGTCCTAACATGAAAAGAATATATTTGTATAGGTAACGAAGGCGAGCGACGAGGAGTTTAAAATGTAAGGTTTTGAAATCAATTTGTGGAAATACGACTGTTGTTTTAAAGTTTTTGCCCAAAGCACTGCAAGTGACCCTCTAATTTATTTTTCTTCATTTTCTGGCTTTCATTTTTTTGTATTATTAACTTATACCCCCCGTTCATCTCCCATTTGCAATGCGTATAAACAAGTACATCATCGATGTTTTCATACTTTTGTAAATATATTTATAAATAATTCGGTCCGGCGAATGGTACAATAGAAAGGTGGTAATAGGATTAATGCAAACTTCTGAAGCAAACCTTGAAGCTATGTCCGCTTTATGTTAGAATCGTTTTTACAGTGGGTAAATTGTCGGAACTATAGAGATGTATTTAATCGCTCTATATCGATTAACAATTTTTATACAATTATTTTTTTTTTTCTGTTGATCTTTTTAAACCACAATTAAAAATAAAGCCAGTCTATTTTGAAACAATCAATAGACATCAACTAACATTTCTGTGGTTTTGAATATTCTCCCAAGACAATATATTTACCAGTGTTAAGTGATTTTAATCGCTAAGGTAATATGCAACTTCAAACAAAATTATATTTTGTTTTTGTAAAATATTCAGGTTTTATCCCATTATTGATGTTTTTTAAAGAAACGTTTATTTATTAGTGGAATACTATGGTTTCGGTAAGGGCGACCAATCCTCATCAGTTTCCTTGGTTTTTGTCTGGGAATATTCTCACAAGGAATTTTTTTAAAAACAACTCCTTTGGCAAACGCCTCTTGATGTCCAACATTTTTTGTCGCTTCTTCTTAATCGTTTAACTGCACTTTATGAATCATACGCTTCATAATTATGCTTTTGACATTAACAGTGCTCTGCAATACATTAAACTGTTTTTTAATTGCATGTTCTTTATGACTTTGTATTGGATTAAGTTGATATGTTTTGTTTTTATATCCTCCACCATAGCATGGATGGTATATTAAGTTTGTCATTCCGTTTGTAACACCTCGAAATATACATTTTAGACCCCACATGTAGGGCCACGTTTTGGTATAGCCCCCATATAACGGTACCTCCCGATATTGGCCACAATTATACCAATCGATACGCAATTTTGTATGAGGTTAGAGATTATGACAGGACGGATGCCCACATCCACCATTTTGGATGATCATCAAATAATAATAATCTTGTGAAATTGATTAAAATTTCCATTCCATTGCGAATATTGTTATACCTTTGACCTTGGAAAGGCATAAGGGTATATTATCTTTGTCATTACGTTTGTAACATCCCTAAATATTAATCGTAGACCCCATAGAGTATATATATTCATAATCAGCATAAAATTCTATATCGATTTAACGATGCCCGTCGCTCTGTCTGTTGAAATTACGATACAGCCCACATTATTTATATAGGTTCATGCTTTGGTATACCTCCCATATAACGGCACCTCCCGATATTCGGTATTTTGATGATTTTTTTACGGATTTGTCTAAAAATTGGTATTTGTTGGCAATGATAGGTTCTTGCTCCGGTGGCGAAACATTGTATGTATAGGACCACGCTTTAGTATAGCCCCCATATAACGGTACCTCCCGATATTCGATATTTTGATAGAAATTGGTAGTTGCAGTTCATAATGGGTTCTAGCCCGGTGGCAGAACATTGAATAGTTAGTTCCACGTTTTCCTAAAGCGCACATATAACTACACCCGCCGATATTCAGTATTTTGATAATCCTAGTCACATTTACCCACATAATTGTTTAAAATTCTTTAAAATTCTCAATCGTTGAAAATTGCTTATAGAGGTTTCCGTTTCGGTATGGCCCCAATATAACGGCTTCGCACAATTTATGGTTTTTTGATAAATTTAACTGCATTATGCAAATGGTCTTTTACATAAAAATGTTTCCATTACCCTAAGGTGGAGGGTATTGAAAGTTCGGACCGGCCGAACTTAATGTTTTTTACTTGTTAATGTTTAAAGTCACCCCCCTCCTTTTCCTCATATGTTTATCGTTCCCGTCACTGCGGTTTAATGTATTATTTCTAAGTGTATTTGCATGCAAAAGGAAACGATATTGACATATAGGCCCCCTTGATGATCATCATAGAATCACATATTGAGTCCATCATAAATGTCCGTCCCTCTTTCTATGCGCCCGTCCATTTGTCAATGTATTTTTGTTAAGAAAGTATAAGCCGCATTTATTGTTCGATTGTTATGAAATATTTACAAATCTTAAATTATTATTTTTAAATTATTATTATTAAATTATTATTTTTGTTGTAACAGACAAAACCAACTTACATGGTTATTCTACTTCGTTCAGGTTGAACGAAAGCATAACAAGTGGAGAAAGATGTAAATGTTTATAAGTGAGGTTGTAAGATTTAGAAGACTTTCCAAAAGAATTTTAGTTTTATTTAATTCTTTGGTTCCTCTTCTATTGAGCTTACGATCTCGTCACTTGGGTAAAAAATGCTTTCTGTCATAGAAGTTATTTTTAAAATAACTTCTGGGGAGAATATCCCAGACAAAAAACAAGGGAACTGATGAGGATTGGTGGCTTTTTCCGAAACCTAGGTATTCCCTGCCTTACCCCCTGGTAAACATTACCATCGTTCTCCACTAATAAACAAACGTTGTTTTTATAAAAACAACAAAAAAGGGATAAAGCCTGACCATTTTGCAACAACAAAATACTACGGTATCCCGAACAAACAAGACACACTGTTCTATTAAATTATTATATCTCAACAAAACGTGAAATAAATAGCCGAGTTTCTTAAAATTTCAGACCCATGAATGATTCTACGAGTATATTATATAAAGTCAGCTCTTTGTGTTAACTCACAAACGGTCAAAATTGTGAATAACTTTGCACCTTTCACTATATGTTAGATACAGTATAAAATTATATAGCGAAGGAATCACAAATCTAGTCAAAAGATGGACTATACTCATAATGACGCATAACTTCTGGTAGCTCCTCCAACAATTATGAACATTTATAATAATTATAAATCGTATATAATTTGGGAAGTGGTGATTATTTAGGAGTCGGAATTAGTTCCAATGTTACACATCGCTTCGTTTCTATAAAACGTTTGCCAATATTAGTCTAAATTTATTTCTATTCCGTACATATGTTTAAAAATCTTGAAAGGGAAAAGTGTTTCTCTTTCGCATATTCCCCTAGGTATTTTATCTTTATTTTATCTGCTTATCTTTAAAATAGACGCTTATATTAACCAACTATGAACCTTACTTGAATATGTATCATGGCTTTATAGCAGTTATAATATGGTCTTAGAGGAAACTGATATATGGGAGGTATACCTAATTCTGATTCGATTTTCACCAAATTTGATGGAGTCATTTTAACTTCTCATACCAAATAACATTACTATAGAGTGCATGATATCACTTCAAGAAGGTTTACATTAAAACAAGTAAGAAGCTGTAAGTTCGGCCGGGCCGAACTTTGAATACTCCCCACCATTTGCAACGAATTTGGTAATTTTCAAAAAAAATAAAATCTGATAAAAATTCGTCTATACGACGACGTGGACCTGCATAGGCAACTTTGGTCATAAGCCATTACAATATTCAAAAGCAAAACTTGGAAAAAAGTTTCGTCAAAATACCGAATATAGGGAGCTATACGAAGACGTGGACCTGCACAGACAACTTTCTGTCATAGGCTGTATTATCCATTATGAACTTCAAATACCAAACTTGAAACAATTCCGGTGAATAATCTCGCTAAAATCATCCAAATACCCAATATTCCGAGGTACCATAATATGAGGGCTATACGAAAACGTGGACCTACATAGCCCATTTTCAATACCAAAAGTCCTGCAGACATACTATACATTTGAGTAAAATTTTATGAACGTTCTTCATTTCGTTCGGAAGCTAAAGTGATTTCCACAGACGGACGGACATCGCTAAATCGGCATGGAATTTTATGCTGATCAAGAATATATATGTTGTGGAGTCTAATATGTATATTTCGAGGCATTACAAACGGAATGACAAACTTAATATATACTCCATACTATGGTGGAGGGTATAAAAAATTGGTTTATTGTAAAACAAGTAAAAAAAAAACATTAAGTTCGGGTAAAGGAAACATTAGAAGAAATGTGGCAAAAACCATTAAAATGCCGAATATTGGGAGTTACCGTTATATGGGGGCTATACCAAATCGTGTACCTACACATGCAATGTTTCGCCAAAGGAGCTAGAACCCATTATGACCTACAAATGCCAATTTTTAGACAAATCAGTGAAAAAATGTGGAATATCGGGAGGTACCGTTATATGGGGACTATACCAGAACGTGGACCGATATATCTCATTTTCAATACCAACCATCCTAGACACAATACAAATTGCTCTGCTAAATTTTGGCGCTCTACGTCAAATATCGTGATTTCAACAGACAGACGGACAGACAGACGGACATCGTTAAATCGACTTAGAATTTTATGCTGATTATGAATATATATTTAATATATACGACGAATATTTAAGGATGTTACAAACGGAATGAAAAAGTTAATATACCCTCCTTTCCAAGGTGGAGGGTATAAAAATCTATCCAAAATGGATCTAATATTACATATATGGTGAACAATAACCGTGAAATCGGATGCAGATATATGTGCAAGTTATATACAATACAGAACCGATCTCAATTAAATTTGACGGAGGTATTTCTGAGCTGTATCTAATATCCCGCACGAAAAATCCTAGGTTGGGAATACCAGCCGACTGATACACTCTAACTTGTTACTGGTTGCATTCTGGGTTGACACAAACTCAGATTAGATTTCACATAATCTGTATGCAGAATCAGCTCAATTACAATTAAATATTTTACATTATCAAATTGTATTAGGGGGGAGGTGCTACAGGACTACACATTTGTAAAACACAATATTTCAATTTCGTCTTGTGGCCATTGTAGGGTTAGCATTATCCTAATGCATTTGCTTTACAACATTTGGATTTCGCTAACGGTTTTATTGTTAAGAATATCCACATCAACGGCACCATTTAACATGCCAGAACACGACTGTGATTTCTGATACAATTCTCATTTAAAATGCAAATGCTAGCAGCGCATAACCCCAAAATCATAAGAAGCAGAAACAACCAACCCGAAATCATTGAAATGAGGCAACGGCAACGACTACGACAGTTTATTCCATTGTCCTCGTCCTAGGGACATTGGCTGCAGCCATAATGGAATTTAACATTGTTATGCATCGAGCGTTGTCTGGGCACGCTAATTCAGCACCACACTCTTTCCAACAGTAATACGAATAGCGCTAGCGTACAGAACAATGAAATTATTCCTTTGGCTCCGGCCATGGTTTGTTGTTTTGCTTGGCAAAGCGAAAACTTTTCTTATATATCATTGTCTGTTTCCGTCACTTGACTTCCCGGCCAGTTACTTTCTTCGCGAACAACAAATATTTGTCTTTCTATTTTGCTTTAAACGCTCCGCTCCGTTCTCGCCCTGCCCGACTTTTTGGTATTTCGGGTTTGCTGACGTCACAGTCATTAGTGTTATTTTGTTGACGTTTTTGTGTCTGGCATTGCAGTTCTCCAATTCGTAGCTAAAAGTTGTCCATTCAATTTTGATTTTAAATAGACTGCAGCATAGCTTGTGTTGCTGCTGTAGGCAAAGCACCATAGCCCGGTCGTGCTGTGTGTTGTTATTGTTGTGCTGTTGTTGCTGGTGATTATTGTGAAGGCTGTTTCGGACAGCTGGGGTACTCACTTGTGTCTGGGATAAACAGATGCACTCAGTTGGGCATGATTTCGATGATGACTCAGATAGTTGCGAATTCCATAAGCATCCGACAAATGTAATTGATGCAATGACTAACCAGGTATTGTACATTTCACGTTACTAAACACACGAAACTCTCCACCGGCAATACAATGATGGCGACATCCACTGAAAATACGGCAAAAGAAACAACCAGGGAGAATTAATTGAAATCGATTGAAAACAAAAACTTTTGGTAAAAAAAAAAAAAATAAATAAATGAATTTAATTTGCTTTCCAAATGTTTATCAAAATATTTAAGAATGCATGCACCAACATTTATAAATTATACGATTTATAATAGTTATTAAGTTAAGTTATTAATACAATTACAATGAAATTGTAGGTTGTTGTTAACAGAGTCTTTGATGTGAACTGATTGTTAATACAATAAAAATTTTATTTAAAACTTAATAGTTCAAAAGAAGAATATTGTTGAAAAATTGTTGTTACAAATGATTAACTGTCCCATCCAAACCATGTATGCAAAGCAAGTTATTCGGATAACATTTTTAAATCTTAACCAGTAAAGAAAGTGTTAAAGTCGGGCGGGCCGACTTTATGACACCACTACACCACTTTGCCAATTTAGTAGAGCTCCACATAACAATTAAAAGTTTTTATGGGAGAATTAAATCAAACACGCTATGATTATGATTATAATTTAAAGTTCAAAGGACTAAATATGCCGAAGCATTTGTATCTTTTAAATTCGGACTTGTGGTGCACAATTAATTTGAAATCGGATAAAGATATATATGGGAGCTATATCCAAATCTGAACTGATCTCAAAAAAAAAACATACTATTCAGGCTGATATTACGCGTTTGGTGCACAATAAAAGGCAAATCGGACTAAGATATATATCTAATTTTTAACGACTATCTCCAATTTCAATAGGGTTCGTCCTTGGGCAAAGCAAATGATTTGTGCAAAATTTCATCTGGATCGGGCAATAAATGCGAACTGTACTTTGTTTACAAAAATACATGGACAGACGGACGGACATGCATAAATCGACTCAAAATGTGATTCTATGCAGATCATCAAAAGGAACTATGAGTCTATCTCGTTTCCTGCTGCCTGTTACAAACAAATGCACAAAGACATAATTCCCTGACCACCTTATGGTGTAGGGTATAAAAAGTTTACCAGTTCTTAGTCCTCAATTCAAAAATGGTTCTACTATTTTGCACCCAATAGGCACCGCTCTTGAGAAATCATTATTTTAAGGATTACACTTAAATTATATTATTCACATGTTGTTTGTTGGCTGAATAATTATCATTGTAAATTATCAGGCCTACATTACTGTGTTACACATTATCAAATAAGCCATGATGCTGAGTGGATAAAATTAAAAAAAACCGCTGACATGCTCCGCAAGTTATGACAGATAAAAGTATTAAAAAATCTGACCCTTTGTGAGTGAGGTATATATATCATCTTTAGATATATAACATCTTCACAACAGATCTTGTGTATGGGTGAAATTTCAAAAGAGTTGGAGGCTTATTTCCTTTTCTTTCTTAGCGTTTTGTTTTTGAACATACTGAACCCTATCTGGGGTAGGTACCGAAAGAAATAGTCCGATCTCTACCATTTTTATAACAGATTTTGTGTTGATGGAAAAACTGAGATGTACCAAATCTGAATGCAATCGGATGTTAATTTCGTTTTTATGAGCCAAAAGTTGGAGTAAAATCTTTTTTGAGCAAAATCGGATTAGCGCTTCTCTTTCTTTTTGAAAATGTCTAATTTTTTGTAAGGGAAGTACCAGAAGGATTGGACCGATATTCCATCTTAACACCAGACCTTGGGTTAGTAAAAATATTGGGATGTGTGAAATTTGAAGACAATCGGACTCTTACATCACATTTTATAAAAGTTGTAATCATTCAAAATTTTGACCCTTTGTGGGGCAAGTACTTGATAGAGTGGACCAATATTGCCCGCTTTCGCACCTGACCTAGCACTAATGCAAGCATTAAGATTTGCAAAGTTGGAGAAAATATATAGAATATATATTAATTGAACAATTTGACCTTTTGTGGGGAAGGTACCAGAAGGAGTTGACCGATATTGCCCATCTCCGATCTCGATCTAAGTTTGACAAAAATATTACGATTTACCAAGTTTGGACCAAATCGGAGTTATCGTACGCACCAGCCAGTCAGACAGACAGACGGACATCACTAGTTCGACTCCAAATGTCCTGCAACGGATTTGGTCCAAAGGACCTAGGGTCTAAACCCGTTATTTCGGCTAGGAACGTTTTGACAGTACCCTATCTAGCCATATGACTGAGGGTATAACAATCGAAACAACACATTATTGATTTAGAGCAGGATTCAAACATTTTTAACTTGGCATATTTAGAAATGTGTTGGCTTTCGATTTACTTTGACCACATCTAATTAATAGCATTTTTGATGTCCGTTTGAGAATAAAAAACAAATAGGTCCCAATGAGGTTCGTCCTTGGGACAAAAAATGATTTGTACAAAATTTCGGGCAGTAGTTTTTTTACAAAAATACTTGGACAGACGGATGAACAAATAAACAAATAGGGTATGAAAATAAAAGAAGTTAAATATAAATTCAACTCCAGTGTTTGGAACTTATTTATTGGCTATCTGTGGTTGTTTGATAACTGCTTACTACATTATCCCTGTTTGAACAGAGGCAAGGATGCTTTTTTAATTAGTTTCTGGTGGCAAAATAAGATGAAATCCATTTTTTGCTAATGAACATCTTAGCTGGGAAACACAAAAATGTTTGAAAAATGTAATATTTTGGGATATATTTGCGGTTCTTGATTGATAGCTTTTTGACACTTGTTTCAATAAAATAGCATATACCACTAAGGAACTTTTCTCGTATTTGTTAAAGTTCTACCTTGCAAATACTCCTTCCCGCCGAACATAATTGCGTTTTTACTTGTCTTTTTTTTTTTCAAAGAAACTATCAAACAGTCGAGAAGATTCAGCCAACTCAGATGAATTCGATTAAAGTAATTGTTCATCGCAAACCCTTTCTTCTTGGTTGTGTTAATATCGCTAATATATGTATTTAAATTTGCCGGGAGTCCGGGAATAAAAAGTTTAAGGTAAACACACAACTATAAGTTCACCCGACATGTTGACTAAAGAAAATTTTAATGTAATATAAGCAGCTCTTGCATTTTGGACAGTTTTTGAAAGAAATCATATGTTGTTTCTTCTTTAGTTATTTAGCGTAAAAAAATGATTACCGTAAATAGCCTCTGCAATTGAATGTGAAAATGTACCTTAAAATTTTCAATATTATTTTTAAGGGGCACACACATAAAGAAACAATTTTCTGTATAAATTTATGTGGGCATATCCACAGCCCCTCCCCCCTTTGATCGAAATTGTATCAACTATGATTTTCCACTGATCTACATAGACAACAAATGTCAATATTAATTGATATTTGCATAAAGAAAAAATAAAATACCGAAATTACTCTGGCAACTAATTGGACACAAACAGCAGAAGAAGCACCAGCAGCAGCAAATTTCTAAACTCAAATGGCAATATGGCAATGGAAAAAAGCAGCACACCTAACAAATCGTACTCGATTGCATTGAACATTTCCAATCAAGCCAAAGACAAAAGTTTTGCAATTGCATCTGACAGCAAATTGAAAAATTATGTGTACTCACAAGTGTCCCGAGGACCACACATGGAGTTATCCAAATCCAGACTCGTACTTCCACAACTGCCACAACGATGTGACACTGCAGCATCCAAGTAGCTGCCATGAAGGCACCTCTGTCCATTGGCATGCATAGGAATGTAAGAATGTGGGTGGGCGAGTGAGTGAGTGAGTAAGTGCACGCTTGTAGTATACGTGAAATATGCGGATGTGGCCTCGTACATAAATCAGCAGTGGTTGCCATTACTAGTTGGCTGGAGTGGATGGGGAGGGGCTGCTCCATGCGAATATTTGCAATTTTATGTGGTTCAGTAGTGTTAAGGGGCGTTTTGGCAAAGTCAAAGTTTATATTAGTTGCTAATAATTCTTTGAAAGTCCATGCCAGACTAGACCATTGGGGTGGAAACCCATTGCAGACTGATTTATGCACTCGAGGATGGGTCACACATCCACATCTGCTGCTGCCCAGACCTGACCTGACTTGCTTATTTGCAGTGCAGCATCCCTAAATTTCGTCGCTAGGTATCCATTGCCCGACAACAAAAGTTGTCGAAATTTAAATATGTTTCGCCTTAGAACCTGAAGAGTATTTAAAATGCAATAACTTTTTGCTGGCACATACCTATTTCGTTCGAAGTTGACCAACAAACTTCGTTCTAATGGTTTTGGCAATGAATTATAGCCAGAGGTGCCGACATAAATACTTTGAGAGTACGTGTGTGTGTGTGTGACACTCACCTTTGTGTTTATGTACGATTGTGTGTGTGTGTGTGAGTGTGCAGATGTCCACATATTGGAATGTTTGATGTACATATTTATTATTGAACAAATATGTGTGCTCTCTATTTAAGTCATTTGCAGAGCAGAGAGTTCCACAAATGCTTGGAAATGTTGAGGTTCCAATTTGTTTAAATGTTTGAACAACAAGTAAGTTGCCGGAAACAGATTCGTTAGCAATGCCAACACAGATTGTTTAAATTTATTTGGTTTGATGATTGCTTTGGGCAAAACTATTTTGCATTTCTTTTCTAGCCGTAAATGGTTTGGGTCAAACCAGCTGGAGGCGTTTAGAAATGCTATCAACAAATATCGATACGGGAATTTGAAACTTCAGCATATTTTAAATGACAACAATTATGATTTTTATTAGTATTTTACAGAATATGTATGGCATAGTGTGGATAGTGTACGAGAAAGTATATGCGAAACAAGGAAAACTGTAGTTAAGCTCGGCGGGGCCGTACTTTTAATACCCTGCACCATTAGGGAAACAATATTATTATACCCTACAACACTATGTGTTGAGGGTATTATAAGTTTGATTGGGCCAAAAATTATGTAACACCACGAAATATTGATTTCCCACATAGGAAAGTATATATGGATCTTCCTATCTCGCCGAACTGAGTCGATCTAGCTATGTA